CCGGTCGGATATTCGGAGTACTTCCGGCTCTGGGCCGGAGTGAGAGGAGAGGGATAATCCCGTGGAACAACGGGGTCAGAACGGTTTCGCCCCCGGTTTATGGATTTTCCTGGTAAACGTTGCGTTGCCGGCTGCTACGCTGATTACCCGAATAAATTGTATCGTTTGTCGAAGGCTGTTTCGATTCCGTCAGTTTCGTCGTTGATCCTAATTCTTCAATTTCGGTCACTCGTTATTTAAAAAAAAAAAAAAGAAAAGAACGACGTTGCAAAATGATTGAATCAAAATATCCAACGATTTTATTCCGTCGTCGCTATCCTCAGGAATAAAATTCGAAAACTGCATCAAAATGTTGCAACCGTTCTGCGATCCTTCGATTTTCTTTTTTTTTTTTTTTTGCTCCGATCTACGTTTCATTCTCTCCTAGTTTCAATCTTAAATTTTTATAGTTCGTTATTTTTTTTTTTCTTTTTTACGGACGAAGTTTTAAAGAAACTTTTGAAGATAGGGATATTGAAAAGTTGTCGATGTTTCTTTTACGTGTATGTATTAGCTGCGCTGGATTGAAAATGACTGAAAGAACGTGGCAGGATCACGTCATTTATAAGTCACTTAAAAATCAACTTTGCTTCCTGGATATTATATACGATATATATATAATTTTCTCAGAAAGTTTAGTATCCATATAATACAAAATATGTAAAATAAAATATAAAATATATAATTATATAAGGATTTCCTATATAATTTTCTATTGATGACATATGACACATGTTATTAATCATTAAAATCAGTGAAAAAGACAGCCAATCTACAAAAAAAAAAAAAAAAGACACCAATGGAAAGCGTTCGTCTCGCCGTTTCAACGTCCTCGTAAACATGTAAATTGTTTCGAGATTCGTCAAAGATTGCGCGTTGAAAACGGCAAGCGATCTATGGGTCGATCCGGCGTGAATTATGGCGAGACAACGATCTGTAACTGATCTGAATCACACTGTTCTCAATAGGGCCATTCATTCGCACATTGTGCCCTACGCCTAATCTATTTTAGACTATATTCTATAGCCGATCGATCTAAATCAGCGGCGCGCGGTCTGCCGCTGACTGATGTGAATTCAACTGTACACTGTACGACCGATCGATCCGTCCAGTCTCGCCGGTACAGTCTATTCGACGTTAATCTTCGATGATCTACAGTCGTTCGATCAAGTCTCGTCTCGTTTGCAAGCATACCCTATTCTCTCTCTCTCTCTTTCTCTCGCGACATGCACGATGAAAGTGGATCTCGCGACGATTTGTAATAGTTTGATGCGAGTACTTATTAAATAATCGAATTATAAAAATTATATGTTGTTAATGTCTGAATGTTGCGATATTTGTTTCAAGTTTCATGGCGAATTTCGAAATAGATTCTTAAAAAATTATTGCTTCGTCAACACTAACAATTTATCTTTAAGAATAAAAGAATTAGCACTCTTACATTATTTATTCGTGCCATATTTATGTCTGCAACGGGTAGGAAGATTTATTCATTAGGTAGATCGGTAAAGGAGTATAATTGAGTCTCGTGATTTTGACAATAACGTGCGAACACCAATCCGTAATTTTTATAAATTTTATTCAACAGAAACTACGGAAATAGATTACTTTTACTAAAAAAGAAAATGTCAGTTTCGCCTTACGACACGCGAAGAATTACGTGTGTACGAATCAACGAATACGATCATTTTTATTAACGTAGAAGAGCGAGCAATTATTAGCGCAACGATCGTCAATTCTCGAGTACAAAAACGTCGAGTTTCGTGTAATTTCAAGGATACGTATTTCGAGATTATAATTACCGAATACGGACGGACAGACGAACGGCCGCGAAACGTAGAAGGAGAAGACGGTTAGGAGATGGTTAATGGATCCGAGACAAGAATTCTGGTAAATCACAGGTGACACAGGCTCCGAGCCTGTCGCGACGGTTAATCACGCGGGATTACGCGAGTTTATCGTGGCCTGTTTGCCGACGAGTGATTACTCGCGTGAAGCTGGATCGCTTTTGCGGAAGCTGGAGATTAATTCTCAGCGTAAATGCCATTGCCGAACGAGAGCGAAAGAGAGATGTAATTCCGCCGGTTGTACGAAACCGTTGTTGCCTCGAGTGTTGTCTCGCCAGTGCCTGTACCTGCCACCGGTCCCATTTCGCAAATGTAGCGCGTAAGATTCGCAAAACGTCCTGCTGCATCGAGCATCGACTCTCCCAATTAAGTCGCATTGAAGTCTCGAACAATGTGAGTGATCGACGAGCTTTCTGGGAATTTTTGGATCGGTTCTTTTAGACGTTGTGAAACATAGCATATTTCATTTAGCATATATATAACATTAACATATTTTAATTTTTTCCATTATACTTTAATAAATTTAATATTTCAAGTTAAATAGGTTGTTATACTTAATTTTATATTTTTATATATTTTATATTTTATATAATATATTATGATAATATTATATTATAATATTATATTATAATATTACAATAATATATTATAATATATATTATAATATAAAAATATATAAATAATATAATATATATAATATATTTTATATTTTTATATAATATTAAATTAAATATTAAATTTCATCAGAGGCGGTTAACTGGCGGCCCGCGAGCCCCCACTTTCGTTTCCCCCACTACATTGAAATATCCTCGCCGTGCTCCCCACTCTCTCAATCTGTTGATTTCCCCACCAAGCAAGTGGAGAGATCGATGCAGTGGAGGGGGTAGCGCTACCGATCAGGAAAGTAGGGGCAAGGGCCGCCAGTCAGCCACCTTTGAGTTAATCCCTTGACATATAACGACGTCTGGCAAACGTCACGAATTTTCTAAAAACTATTGAATTATTAAATTTGTTCTTTCATCATTTTTTATTAACTTTGTTCATAAGCATCGCGTTCACGACGTTTTGCAGTATAAATCTAAGTATATAAAAATGATCTGTGTCAAGTGATTGTTTTGAAATGTGAAGATTTGTTAAGTTTAATGTTAAAATGAAGAATAAATATCATTTTTTTGGACGTAGCAAATTTCATTCAATTTGAAATTCGATTGTCGTATACACTAGGTAAGCCAACGACCGCGGAATGACCGAGTGCTTCCCTAACCCTGAGACGACTCTTGAATTTTTATAGTCCCGTTCTTTCTTCTATTTGCTCTCGCTTCGGCGAGCGAAAAGAACGTATCGCGGGAACGTTAAGCGCGAAGAACTGAGGCAAGAAAGCGTGCACGTTGATAAAACTTCTTTCGTACGTAGCCCTGCTCGAACAGGAGATGTTTATCATCATTGAAAGAACGTGCCACGATAGAAATCGTTCCTACTTCAAATTCGCACAATGCGATTTCTTTTTTTCTCTTGCCAGCTAAAAGTTTAACGAAGAAACTTCAATACACAACCTAGCGAGGAGCAAACGAACGCCCTCCTTCTATTCAATTACCGGCGATCTGCGAGAAATGAAAAGAAAAAAGAAAGAGGAAAAGAGACAACGTCTTGAAATATCATCTCTGGTTCGCGAGGGATTCTGAAGAACGCGAGGAAACGTCGTTTCCATCCCCTATTTTCGTCCTCGGCGCGACGGCGATTAAGAATGTTTCGTCGTTAGGGGAGGGGAGAGACGCGCGTCGTCGTCGCGACGCTTTCGGGATCGTGGCAAATTGCCGGTACACGCTCATGCGGGCTGATTCTCGTCGAGAGGACCGCGTCACCCTCCATCAGAGCGAGACTCCTCGCGAAAGAGCAGTCTCAGCCTATTCGATTCCGGGAGGGGAAACGCGAGAAAACGCGTCGACAGCCAGACAGCTCGCCTTCCATTTTGCTTCCTCTTTCGAGCCCACTCTCCCTCCTTCCCCCTCTCCTCCCATATCTTTCTTAACTCTCGACTCTTTTCAATATTTCTCCGTCTCTTTTCTTAAAATTACTTTTTTCTTTCCACCGATCTTTCACTCGGTACGTTCCTTCGTTTTTTTTCTTTTGTCTCTCGTTTCCTCGTGTCCTCTCTCTTTTTTTTCTCTTTTTTTTTCTTTTCTTCTTTATCAAGGAAAAGCGAGAGTCTAGTCTTGTTTCTCTTGACTCGATTCTTGTTCGAGGCCTTAACAGCAAGGACTTTTCCATTTCCTGCTGTTCAATCACGACGCTCAAGCCACGTCGTTTTATCCATTTCCTGTCGTCGATTCGCTTCCACCCCCACTTTTTCTTTATTAGCCTCAGTTATATTTGCTTTGTCGAAATTTCTGATCTCTGTCCCCCCACGCTTCTGAGCATTTTTATCTGTAATCGCGGTTAGATTTCGGTAAATTTCACCCCGCCGCGAGAAGGAAGAAATAAAACCATGTGGCAATAGCTCTGTCTGTGCTGGTTTCAAACAAATTTAAACAGTCCCGAAGAAGGTCGGGTTTGTCGCATCGGTTAGGTTACAAATTCCAGCGGCGAAAACAGAATTACAAATTCATTTGCTGGTCTCTTTGAATCTCTGGAGCAATGATACTCAGCCAGCGTACAGTCGAATTTCTCGCAATTAAAGTAAAAACGGAAATGTAGCTTGTCTTCGTTATTAAATTAAATAAATATATCTTCTGTTAATAACTCGTGACACAATTATTCGACAAATAAGACGTAAATAAATTCTGTATTTATTTACATGTCATACGAAATTTAGATTTAATCGTGTAAATTTGCAATTTGTTCAGGCGTGTCGCAATTGTTTGTCAAGTGCGCGAGTGTTTCGCGAGAGAGAGAGAGAGAGAGAGAGAGAGAGAGAGAACAAAAATATTCGAGGGTACGAATATTGCGGCCACACGTTACGCCATCAGAAACAATCCAAGTAAGTTTGCGAGCGAGAAGTTGCAAGAGGAGATCGACTGGAATTTATCGTTCGATCTTTCGAAACAATTTTCTATTTAGCTGTCCCCTGTACATTTCATTCCCTTTCTTCCGGCTCTCTCCGCGATACACGCGCACAAGAAACGACGGGAGATCACTCACCTGGAGACAGTGTCTCCTCGCGAGCCAGCCGATATGTTGCAGCTGCGGCGGATCCGGAAGCGCGGAGGCCAGTCGCAGCGCCTTTAGAGTGAGCGCTGCCAACGCCGAGTGAAGAGCGTTGAACCAGATGCTCGCCTCCGCGTTGTCCGCTGCTCTCAACCAGCACTCGTGCACGCCGTCCGGTGAATGGAGTTCCAGGATTCGACCTTCTGAAAGCAGGAAAAAAAAAGGGGTCGTATCAAAGGGAATTCTTTTCCTTTTTTTAATTCTATTTAATAACGAAAACTATTGCATTCGCTTTTCGTTAAAGTCGAACGAAGTTCAAGTTCAGTGAAACGTCGTTAAGAAAAATTCTCATTCCGTTTAAATTTTGAGGTATTTTCTAATCTCGGGGGAATTTTTATTTATCTTTTTCTTTCTTTAATTCTCTGGTACCGAGGTTGACGTTTCTCGAGGCAGCGTTTTTTGAATACGAATAAAGAAACTCTCGCTCATGCTTCCGCTGAAAGCCGACGTTTGTATGTTTCCCAACACGTTGGAAAAAATACAATTACCAGGTAAATTTAACAGCTGCTCCGCGAGGTCGAAGCTGAAACTTCGCTCGAAATTGGAACCTCGGTGGTAGCTTCCTCCTCTTGTTCCAGCCCAGGGGGAAAGAATCCGTAACCTTTTTCCACAAGTTCGACGCGAGAAATATCAATAACACGAATTTTCCCTCTGAGGAACGTTCCTCTCCCAAACTTATATATGTATATATATATTGTTAACGTCAGCGAGAGAACGCTTGAATATTCCGTTTTATTGAAACGTCAAAAACGCCTCGGAGGACGAGGTAGGCGAGGGGAAACGTCGCCTGAAAAGATATCAAGCCTGACAGATGTTCCAGCCCGAAACAACCCTCGATAGAAGGTTGTTCCCCCCTTCCTCCCTCCCTCTCCTCTCTGCCCTCTCAGCGAGCTTCGTCCCTTTGCCTCTAATATCCCTCGATCCAGACAGCAGAGGGAGGCTATCAGGTTTCGGACTTAATAGTTTTCGCATCACGGGCCCGGGCAACATTATAAAGGCGCCATATAACTTGGCGAGTGGATGACAACTCAATTTCAAGTTGAGCCGAGAGCGTTGTTGCTCTCGCGTGCACCGTAACCGACTAATTCGAAGCTGAAGGCATCGGTGCGAGCAGTTTCAAGTGCGTAACGTAAACTTTCGCGGCGGGGGCGAAGCGAAAAAAAAACTTTCTTCCTCGAATTCCTCCCGCGTATTTCCCAATGTTTAATATTTCTGATACTCCCGCGTACGGAACTTCCGGGGGGGGGGGGGGGGGCGAGGAAGAAGTTGCCCGCCGCGTGCGGAAATTCCGTATCGATTCCAACCCTCGCCCCCAAAGCTTTGCCAGCTTCGAGACGAAACGAGATGAGACGAGAGTAAGTTCTCGAGAACGTTCCGGCAATTTCTTGACGAGAAGAGTGGAAAGAGTGTAATTGGACAAACAACAAATGGGAAATTGTCGATATTTCAAATCGATTATTAGCTTCGAGAAACAGCTATACTCTACTTCTCGAGCTTTTTTTTTTTTTTTGGACGAAAAAGTAAAGATACTTTTATGCTCGAGGGTTGTCGAAATTCAAACGTCTGTAAAATATAATATTATGAAGTAGATAGTAAATCTGAAAATATAATACAGGTATACGATAAAAATATTTATTTCTACTGTTCGTTTGTTTATTTTTACTGTTTCACTGATCAAGCAACAACGTATTTTATCATTCGTTTATCAACAGGCCAATTTTCTTTCGATCGTCGCGTATATTCACATCGGAGGCTGTTATTTCTTATTCTGAATAATTTGCAAACACTTTACATTACATTATAAATTATATTATTTTATTTTATATTATATTATTATAGTTATATTATTTAAATTATTATAATTACATAATAATTTATATATATTATATATTATTATAGATATATTATTTTATATTATTATAATTACATGATTTTCAAATGTCGCGATTTATCGGTATTCGTTCTTATTTCGAAGTAAACTCGTTTCTCATCCAGTTGTTCGTCCCTTTCCATTTGTTGTTTCTCAAATTAAAAAATAAAAAAAAAAAATAAAAAAGAAGAAAATCCCCCAACCAAGTGTGCCAGAAATAAAGAAAAGCGATTGGGAGGAACCTGAGAAGCGAGAGTCAAGATGGATATGGATTTAAACCGCGAAACGAAGAATAAGCGGTATCGGAGACAGGCTAAACGGGACCACCCTCGAGATCTAAACGCCGCCCTGTATCCGGTTACCCTTCGTTCGCGGGAGTGGGTGACAGGTAGCGAAAGCAGGGGTAACAAACGTCCGCCGTCTCTTATACAAAGTATCCACTTCCACGTTCGTTTTTCTTCCCGCACTTTTCAAGCGATAACGAACGTTACCGGTCCCTCGAGGGGGATCCAGGATCGCTGCTCCCACGAGATGAAATTCGAAAAAGGAAAGAAACACAAGAGAAAACTCAACCATTCGCTGATGAGAGAATATTTGAATAATCTCGTGGAGAGATGGACAGAATGAATTTCTAATATTGCACGAACAACTTCGAGTCTCGTGGTAGAATCTCGTTTACTCGAAGGAGGATTTTCGTTGAAATTTGATCGAATGTGTGAGAAACCACGGAGACTATGTGTGGAGGACTATTCGGAGGTATTTCGTACTTGGCAAGATCGAAGATACTAATATTTATTTATTAATATTAATAACATCAACAATATACTAAGCCATTTGCATCCGTAAGCGGAATATTCCGCACATGGCGATCTTCATTTATATGTCAGTCGAATGCCTGATGTCTCAACGTAGTAGCATAGGTAGAGTCGTGATGCAAATGGGTTAATATTATTGATTATTACTTGATTTACATCTTATAACGAGCGTAAAATTCTCCATTAAATAAATTTATATTGGCACAACGCTGAACACACAACATTACGATCTTCTCCCCAATTCACCGTCCTATACGATTATTCGCAAATTTGCTAAAAACAATTTTTACTTAAAATTCTAATTATTCCACGATCCCGTGGAGCAATGTTGGCACAATGCGGCGAATACTTTTAACACGGCGAGTGAAAGCGCGATGCAACGTTGTAAGACGAAATCGTAACCGCAGTGAAACCGGAGGCACATTAGAAAGATACAAAGGCGGAAAAGCGCGAGAAAATAACCGACGTTGTTGGAGAGAGACGGAGAGAGAGAGAGAGAGAGAGAAAGAGAGAGAGAGAGAGGGAGAGTGTCTGTTTCTCAAGCTTATCGTCTGACTTTCGCCGGGGCCACAAAGCGGGGCTCGGTTACGTGGCTTTCCCCCGCGAAGTAGACGCGGCCGATTGGTCAGACACAGGGGAGGGATACATTACTCGGTGGAAACGTGAAACCGAAAGCCGGAATCCTCTCTCGCGTCGAATGGCGGATAAAGAGAAAAGGGGGAAAGCGGATGGAGTCACGTTTAACGATTCGTCGACGTATCGCCAGGCTGTGGTTAACGCTCGCGTGAAAAAGGAATAAAACAAGAAAAAAAAAGAAAAAAAAAAGAAAGGAGAGAAGAAGAAAGACATAAAGAACGAAAGAGCCGCGCTACCAGATGGAGGAGGAGGTGAACCGATGAAAGGTTTCGAGATACGATGCTTCTTCAGCAACAAAGAGAATGACTGCGATAAAAATAAGCTTGATAAAGCAGAAAGGGTAAGAAGAGACGAAGACGCGAGACGTTGACGTACGAAGATAATGACGCAAAGAAGATGATCTTTCAGAGGCGTACGTTCTTTGTTCCCTGGACAAAGGACACGTTCATGCAGATTCGTATTACCGTGGACGGAGGAGTGGAGACTACTTTTTCTGCACAACATTCGATACTTTGTACGTACGTGCGTCTTTCAAACGTTTGTGCTTGTTCAAACAAACGTTTACATCCGATCAATTGATCGTTCTGCAGACTCGGATTCTCACACGAACACAGTGACATAACTGCAGGTTTGTCTTACGTATTTGCTGGATATTATACTTGTTCTGCAAATATCTCGAAATGCACGAATAAATACAATGCCTCCACTGCGCCATCCAACGTCCGTGAACTAAATCGCAGGATAAATTCTACGAAGTAAAAATAAAATTGCATTGCAAGCCATTTGACCGAAGACAGACTGCACCCGCTTCCTATCCTACGATATCCTACGTACACAAAACAATCTTCCATCCACTCCCGTTCTATCTCAGGAGTATGAACTCGCAGGAGTAAGAGTCCGCAGTCCGCTCGCCGGCAATTCCGCCATTAAACCAAAGAAAGGGAAAAAAGAAAATCACGCTCGAGACGTGAATTCATATTTTAAACAAAGGGGAAACAAGTTCGCAATCGCGAAAGTAATACACCCGGCAGGAGATAGATGAGCCAACGCAGAAACGCGTTGGACATCACGCGAACTGTCCTCTTACCGGGGCTGAAGAAGAAGAAGAAGAAGAGGAAGAGGAGGAGGAAACGCCGCAACAGGAAATTTGAATTAAAGTCGGTGGATGGAAAGAAAGGGGTCGCCATAAATCTTTTTACCGTCCTCAAACGGGCAGGAAGAAAAATCCCCCCGGGGGAGGGGGAGAGGGAAGAGGTTGCGCGCCGTGCTGGGAAAACCAGCCCCCTCTTTCCCTCTTTTGGCGGCTAGGTGAGAGACGGAGAAACGGCGCCACGACGACGACGACGACGACGATGAATCCTCTTTTCCCCGCTGGGCTTTTTGCCCGTTGGGTTGCGCCCGCCTGCGCCCCTCTAATTTACTAACCTTATCGGCCTGTTTTCGAGCAACGCCGCCCGAAACAAAGGATCCTCCTCCTCGCGGTGGCGTTGGTGGCTCGGTTTTGCGCCGCGGCACGGACGGCTGGTCAAAGGCGGGCAAATTACGCGCGGGTACACAACACCGGAAGCGAGATTACCAGGTCACGTTGCACGGCGGTGTACACACACACAGGCACACACGTGTACAGAGTGAGCACAAAATTGAAAGAGGAACGCAGCGGCTGAAACGCAACGGCGGATAGAAAAGCTTGACGAATGGATATACAATATATATATATATATTGTATACACGTGCAGGCGTGAACGAGAGAGAGAGAGAGAGAGAGAGAGAGAGAGAGAGAGCTCGGTTGTTTCGTTAATTAAACGAAGCTGCGTATCCGTCG